ATTCCAGTTGTTCCATATCCTCACCAGCTCTTGTTTGGTAGCTTTTTATATTCAAGTAATTTATTTTTTGCCATTCTACTAAATGTGTAGTGGTGTCGAATTGTGGCTTTAATTCCCACTTCCCCTATGACTAATGTTGAGTCTATCCATTCTTTTAAATCTCTGCTTGGCTTTCACTTCTTTCAAGAAGCCACCACTCACTCTACAGACTAACTTCCTGTCCTCCTCTGTGGTTCTATGACAACCAACATTCATCTCCACCCTGGCCTTGACCCACTAAACTGCAGTTGTTTTACCACCCACCACCCTCATCTCACACACACACACACACGCACACACGCACACACGACTGTGCGCTCCACGAGGGCAGAAGCAGCATCTTTCTTCCTTTGTTATCTTCGGCTCCCAGCACAGACCTGAAACAGAATTTTTATACAATAAATATTAAACAAGTGAGGGCCGGCCCGTGGCTCACTTCAGAGAGCGTGGTGCTGACAATACCAAGTCAAGGGTTAATTTTTTTCTTTAAAAAAAAAAAAAAATTAAATGGGTGAATGAACAGTTGCTGAACAAATTAAAGAATGGAGGGATGAAGGTAGTTAGGCACAAGGTTTTGCAATCACAGTGGCCTGGCTGTGTCAATTAACCCTTTCTCCATCGGTGCCTCACACTTAATAAGATCACCTTAAAAAGGCTGATCCTGAGGATGTGAATGTTTATGATGACGACACTGGTGACGCTATCCAAGGCTGGGGGAGGGAGCGAGGCGGAAGGGGCGAGGCCGGAAGCAGAAGTGCGGCAAAGAGTTAGCGGCGTCTCAGTTGCCATGGAGACCAGGAGCCCTGAAGAGCGGAGGTCGGTAGAGTCCGAGAGCTACGAGCTCCCGGGGACAGCGTGGACGCCAAGCTCGCGTCCGGCCGGGTCCAGCCAGCCCCACAGGAAGTCTGCGGTGGCGTACTCTCTCGCCTACTCCGAGGACTTCCACTACGGCTTGGCGACCCAGCCCCGCCGCCGCACGCAGCTGGCGGTCGCGCCGCAGCCCGAGCCACGGCTGCTGCGTCTGCGCCCCTCCTCTCTGCGCACCCAAGACATCTCGCACTTGCTCACCGGCGTCTTCCGCAACTTGTACACGGCCGAGGTGATCGGCGAGGACGTGGGCGCGAGCTTGGTCAAGGCCCGCGGCAGCGAGGATGTGCGCCACGAGAAGTTCGTGGACGAGCTGCAGCAGGTAACGCGGCTCCGGCGCCCCGCGCGGGACCCGGCGCTCACGTGTCAGCCCTGACGGGGGCCAGGCGCTGTTCCCGGCACTGGGGATGCAGCTGGGAAAGAGCAGACCAGGTCCGTGCCGCAGTGGGTCCGACATCCCAGTGGAAGGACACTCGTGTCTATACACACACGTATGCAGATACACACATACTACACATATAGGGCGTATATCTGTAGCGCCTATCTATATTTCTGTGTACACGTACACACATTATATATTGCATATATAAATGCAACGACTGGTGCAGACAGCCGAATAGTTGTTCCCTGGAGATGATAAAGTCAAAAGTCACTCCTCTTTGGGGTACCCTTGTATCCCAAACCACAATCTTGACTGAGGCGTTCATGCCCAGATTTTAGGACGCATGCCCAGTCTCTGGAACAGCGACTCTGCTTCCTCATCTCTGCAAGCAGGAAACCAGCTGACTGGTCCTTTGTGCTCTCTGCCCCTGCTGACCACACTACTAAGGACTTGAGGGCACTCCTCTCACCCCACACCCTTACCCCGGTGTGCTTCCCGCCTCTCAGATCTTTCTCTTTCTTCACTCCGTTCTGTCCATCCTGTACCTGTCCCTTAAGCGACGTGCATCCCACCCGCAGCTCCATTCATTCTTTCATTCAACACGTTTATTGTGTCTACTATGTGCCAGGCTCTGTTCTGGACAGTGGGGATTCAGCCATGAATAAAACGTGTACTCCCACACATGCTCACAGGCCACACAACCTGTCTTCTATAACCTACAATCTAACTGATAGATTTAAACAATGATAGACATTACCAAAATGAGTATAGAATAGGCGAGAGGCTGATGGGACTAGCCTCATCCCCTCCATGGATTATATAGGCTTCCTGAAATCCAGCCAGGACTCCTGGACAGGACCCCCTGCTCTGTTCTTCCTGGCCACCACATTCACTCTGCTAAGACTTTGGCCAACCCATGCCAGAACTTGCCCTTGAACTTCTGACTCATCTCTGTCATTCACGTGAGCCAGACTATGTGGATCATTAAAGCTATAAACCGGTCACCCCGTTCATTAGATTCTATCTCCTTAATATCTCTCCCACGAGTGGCCACTATACCAGGGTCTGAGCTGACAAAGAGTGATCCCTTTAACAAATAAAAAGCTTTAAATTTTTCTGAAGATAATAGTAATGCATGTTCATTGTAATAATTTCAGGATCCTGAAAAGTTTAAAAAGTGATCCTATAGAAATACAACTATGCAAAGATAGGTTGAATTTATAAATTATGGTATATTCACACTATGGAATACTATGAAGTTGTTAAAAAGAATGAATTACACCTATATTGTAGACATAGACAGCTGCCTTCCATTTATTAATTTAGCAAAAAAGTCACAGAACAATGTTAGGATAATTTCATTTTTTAATAATATATATACATAAAAAAGCTGAAGTTTTATATCAAAATGTTAATAGTGCTCTTGGGGGGGATTTACCTTTTTCTTTGCATATTCTATATTGTCTGAACTTCTGCAATGCACATGAATTAATTTTGTAATTACAAAAAAATAAACTTTGAAAAGAGCAGGCATCTGTTATTCCACCTCTGTGATGCTTCTGTTATTATACCAATTTTACTTTCTCTTTCCTTTATCCTCTTCTTTGCTTTTCTTCTTATTTGTCTCTGGATTTCAATGCCATATGACTGTTTGTGCAGGACAAAAATTCTTTGAGAGGAGAATTGAGAGAAGCAATAATCACCATCCAGTACGACTGTCTGTCCTGATCTGAGTTCTCCCCCAAACAACCTTGGTGGCTGCTGATCTTCCCCAGGCCACTCTGAAGGGGCTGACAGCTGGAGGCTGTCTGCTGGCTACAGGCCCTGTAGCTAGGGAGCAAGTTCTTCCTTGAACAGGGGTCCGGATGGCACCACAGGTAGTGTGCTAACTTGTATTTGGTATTTCACAGTTTGGATGGCAGCCCTCTTTGCTGTGAAACCAGGAGACAGGCTACGAAGCTTTCTCTGTTACTGACCTTACTATGAAAACTTTAAGTCATCTCCCTCTATGGGTCTCGGTTTTCACATCTTTTTGTTGGACAAGATGGACACGATAGTTTTCTGACCATTCTTCTGCTCTTCACTGTAAGCCTTTATGCCGGGGTGGGGCTGAGGAAAGCATGTAATCTCACCATATTTCTGTGCATTTGACCATCCACTTGCCAGATTCGGGAGCTCTATAAGCAGCGGCTGGATGAGGTTGAAATGTTGGAGAGACATATCATTCAGGCCCGCGCACGCGCCCTTGCAGAAAAGGAGCGGACCATGAACCAGGCCAGAGTACAAGTCAATGAGGCCCTCGTCAAGTTGCCTCCAGGTGTGTATAAAGAACTCCCATATGCCAGCCCTGGATTCCCCAGCTGTTGATATTTTACTGCATTTGCTCCCTTGCTCACTCTCTGGTCTGTTTTCTAAACATTTAGAGAGCAAGTTGCTGACATGATGTTTCATTGCTTCAAAACACTCCAGTGTGCATGTCTCCAAAACAGGGACACTCTCCTACACAGGCAGCATACCAACCTCCAAACCTCCTGGTTTGCATTGGTGCAACACTAACCTCCTACCCAGAGGCCCCATTCAGATTTCACCAGCTGTCCCAGTGTGGTTCTTTCTCCTCTCTGGCTCAGGATCCTGTCCAGGAAGCCATGTCACATGTAATTGTTGCATCTCTTTTTTAGACTCCTTCTTTTGGAACAAGTCCTTGATCTTTTCTTGTCTTTCATGCTCTCATTGGCCTTGACAGGCCTTTCTCTCTGGTTCTGTCTGATGTTTCCCCATGATCAGGTTCAGGCCATGCCTTCTGGGTAGCAAACACCACAGAAATTATGCTGCATTTGTCTTAATGTGGCACATTAGGAGGTACAGGTGATGCTAACCTCCATCACCTAGGCAGGTTGGTATCTGCCAGGGTTCTGCACATTAAATTCTCTAAATTGATTTATAATTGATTAGTATCTTGTTGAGAAGTATTTTCAGATTACACCAATATCTCATTAAAGCTCCATCACCAAACCACTAGGATTCACTGAAAACTCTTTTTTAAAAATTGACTACCTGTATGGTGATATTTTCTTTAATCAATTTATTTGTTGAAGAAGTTGGTGTGTTTTTCCCATGGACTTGTCCATAGTCTGGATTTTACTGATTTCAGCATTGTGGTGTCATTTAACCTGTTCTTATGACCCCTGTGTTTCCTGTGAATCAGTAATTAGTTCTAGAGACTTTATGAGGTTTAGGTTCAATGTTGGGGGGGGACAGCGGTGACCACTCATAAGTGGTGCTGTGCGCTTCCTTCAAGAGGTACATGGTATTTAGTTGTCTCTTTTTTTGTGATGCTGGCAGCCTTTTTATCTTATTAGAGTTATAAATTATAATGAAATGCTCATGGCGATGATAATTCTATCATTCCTTTTTTATTTGTCAGCTGAAATACATAAAGAGAAACTTTTCAGCAACTGTTTTGATTACCCCAAGGAATGGGCAGGATTAATTCTTTCACTTTATTTACCAGTCTTTAAAATAATGAGTTGGTTCCCCTAGCATCTTCCAAACGTGACTAATGAGGTTGTTTGTTTGGTTGTTTTAGGATTATTATGAACTCATGGATTTCATAACTATAACTATATTTATTATCTTTAGTGATGCTCAAATTGTGCCATTTTTGGCCAGTGAGAGCCTTTTCAGGTTGACTCCTGACACTTTTGACAGTTAATTGTCTTTGATAACTTCCTTACTTTCTGGAATGGTGAGATGTTCCAAGCTCATCTGTTGTATTTCTAGCCCCAGAGCTAGAATCAGCCATTTCTTCAAGAAGCCCTGGTTCCTTTTATCCCCCACCCACCCACGCCCACAAAGACTTTGATCTAAACCACCATTTTCTAGTGTAGTAGGCAGAAAGGGCAGTGCGTTTAGGGTTGAGAAACCTGTCACATCTGTGGCCTAGAGGGATGGATCAGAAGGGAGAGAAAAGTGGAAGATAGGGTGCTTTAGAAAGGCATTTACCCTGCTGGGGACCAGATTCTATGTAAGACCTCTGCATAGGTTACCCCACTGAATCCTTCCAACAACACTGTGAGGTAGGATTTTTTTCTCTATTCTATGGGTGCAGTAACTAAACTTAGATCAAATCACTTTCCCAAGGACTTGCAGCTCAGAAGGGGTGGGACCTAGATTTGAACTTGGGTGTGTCTGCTATCAAAGCCTATCTCTTTCTTCTGTCAGGAGGAGGGGGAAGGATTGTTGACCAAGCACAGTGTCCAGTGTTGCAGGGGCATTGATGACTTCCCTTAGGGTGTGGCTCTGAGTGCTAGAAACCCTATCCTTTGTCAGGCCTGCCACCTTTGAGGCTCAGGTCCTGTTAGACAGTGAACACTCAAGTGTAGAGTCCATCTCTCTACCTTTTTCCCCTGCACCACAGCAGAGTGTAGCTGCCACCTCCCTCAACTGTGGCCCTTTGAGCATCAGATCATGTGCATTTGGGCAGAGATTATTGATGGCAGATTAGGAGGCTTTAATGGTTGCCTGATGTCCCCTAGCCATGGGAGTCAGATGCTGTCCCTGTCTTTGGTGAGATTTTCTTGGGGGGCTAGATGTCAGGGGAGATTTAATAATTAACTATTTGGTTTTTTTTAATGAAACTGAAATAAAACACTGAGAACTGGGAGACAAACATTGAAAGAAAGTGAGCTGAAACTACCAATCAAGCTTTATTAAAGAAAAAGAATGTGCCAGGCTGCATTCAAAATGGAGAGCAGCAACCAGCGTCAGGGTGGAAGGGTTTATATAGGCTGTAAGAAAGGCTGACATAATCAGAGAGGGGTTTGGTGCTGGTGTGGAGGAGTTTCTATTCTCACAAATGAGGTTTTTCGTAAGGGAAAGGCTGGTGGCCATTTTGTGCTGAGTGTGTTGTAAAATGGCGCCGGTCACATCAAAGATGGTGCTGATCACTTTCAAGATCAATCAGACATCAGTCGAGAGTTTTACAATGACATTCATTTTACTTATTACCCAAAATAATCAGACATTATCTGCCCTGGTTTCTCTGGCTTCTGCTGGTAATGTGTCTTTCTCTTATTTCAGAAGTGGCAGAAGTAGAGACCATATTTCCTGCTTCTCAGGGTAGGGTGAGGTGACCCAAGAACCTTTTTTATAACTTAAATAAGTGGGGGTGAGGTCATTCCTCTAAAGCTTTTCTTATTTGAGGCACAGAAGCAAACTTTTACTGTTTGCTAATACAAGGTAGAAAACGGGTACATTCTCCAGACAGGGGGATAAAGGTCAGAATTCTGCAGAGCGTCCGTGCTTTCATGCCCATCCCTTGCTGGTAACTTGTCCACCTTATCCTTTGGAGGATGGAACAGCCAGTCCCTTGCAGAGCCATGCTCAGGAGCCATGGGGTCAGTGTAGGAAGCCCACCCTTCCCAGATGGAGGAAGATGTTCACAAGGCCCGTGCAGGGTTTTCCAGGGCTCACCTGGTAGGTATATGGCCAGGCCTGACATGGACAGAAACTTTCCACAGATCTGGCAAAGAAACTGCCACCCGCTCCTACAGGCACAGCACCCAACCACCCACACCCTGGGGGAGGAATGTGGAGAGAATGGTATCAGAAGAGAGAAGAAACAACTCCTGTCACATGGCCTTTGCCCTTTGTATGGAAGTCTTCTGTTACCTTTTGATATTTCAAATAGGCCATCACCACAGTCCTTGGGAACTGGGCTGGATTGTGTCAATTTAGCTTTGATGCCACTCCCTGCTGAGGTCTCCATTGCCAAGGAGAGGCCAGGGGCTACATTTCTCAGCATGCACCTCTTCCTGGGATTCCAGGATAGGTCAGCTGATGAGAGGCCCTTGGTGGGTTTCCGAAGGAGAGGCCATTGTTCTCAAGAAGCAGTAACAGGCAGATGATTGAGTGGCTGTGAATTTCAAAGCAACTTCCACATAACTTCTTGAGAAACCCCTGCTTCAGTGCTGCTGGCTGAAGTTGTTAATCATGGCTTTCCCCCGTCAGTCTGTAATCCCCCATGTTAAAACCCTTCATATTTGATATACAAAGGGTGGTTTCTGTTTTCCTGATTGAACCCTGACTATTACAGTAACTAGGCCAAACCTCAAAATCCTCAATTAACATATATCATGGGGGAAACACATATTCTTCACTTGTCTTACCTATATCCTTGGTTATGGGGGACCTCCAAAGGGAAAGACCACTTAAAGGTGCCCTGTTTAAAGATAATGTTGGTTAATGGAGCAAGCAACAAAATTTGAAAACTTCCAAGTCTTTCTTCCATTCACCCTATTTATTCCCTAATTTTTATCAAAGTAATAAATATACATGGTTTTTAAAAATCATATCATTTAGAAGAACTTCTTTTTTTTTTTTTTTTTGTCTTTTTTACTGACCGGCAACGGGATCGCAACCCCCGGTGTTGCGCCCACACCGCGCTCAGCCAGTGAGCGGGAACCGGTCTCCACATGGGATCCGAACCCTCGGCGGGACGGCGCACTCTCCAGTGTGCCACCGGGCTGGCCCAGAAGAACTTCTAATGAAGTATAAAAAGCTTATGCCTTTACATGTCATTTTAAACTTGTCCAAACATAAACACATAGAATGTACAACACCAAGAGTGAATCCTAATGTAAAACATGGACTTTGGATGATGTGTCAGCGAAGGTTCATCAGTTGTAACAAAGGTACACTCTGGTGAAGGACGTTGATAACGGGGAGGCTGCGCATATGTGGGGACAGGAGTGTACATGGGAAACCTCTGTGCCTTCTCAATTTTGCCATGGACTTATAACTACTCTAAGTAATAAAGTTTATTTTTAAAAGGAGCCTGCTTCCACCTCACATCTCCCAACCTCAGTCCCCTTGCCAAAGGTAGCCATTTCTAGTTTTAATTCTTCTGGGTACTTCTAAATAATATGTTATTTATATGTTATATAAATAATATGTCTTTACTACCATTTCTTGGCTCACCAACCATAGACATTAATTGTCAACTCCCCACTCTATTAAATGAGATGTTCTCTCTCATGTGTCTGTGGGTCAGTGAGAGGCTGGCTGATCTAGCTGGGCTTGGCTGGCTGGACTGGCTTCTGGCTGTGGGTCCAGCTGAGCTTGGCTCCTTGCTGTAGGTTGAGCTCAGGTCTGCTCCATGTGGATTAATGCTGAGGTCCACGATGAAGGGCCAGGTTAGTTCTCCTTATGACGATGGCAAAGGCACAAGAGGAAAGGGTCAGCTGCACGAGCACATTTCAAACCCCTGCCAACATCTCATTGGCCAAGGCACATCCCATGGCCAGAGTCAAGGGTGAAGAAGTGTACTCCGTTTCTAGTAGCAGGAATCACAAAGTCACATGGCTAGGACGTGGATACAGAGAAGGGTGAAGAATTGGGGTCATTTATTCATCTATCATACTTATCTTAATTCTGTTTTGTTATAGACCTCTCTGTGCATAACAATATTTTAGCTCAAATGATACCACAACACAGCTTTGCCCAATTGCCATGTTTTAAGTGGCTCATAAATACTTGCTGATTAGTGTCTTGAAATCTCAGCATCACAAGATTCTGAGAAGGAATTTTGGTAGATTGTTTAAGCTGAAAGGATGAAGAAAGTTTGGGTGCAGGTTCTTCAGCATTGGTCTGTCTTGAAACACCTTTGTCTTCATTTCCTTCCATGTAGTGAAGACTGTCTTCAGATGGTGTGTAGACAGCAATTTGCTACAGAAACATCATTTGATCTGCCCAGAAGATTACTACAGTGACACAGTGCCATTTTGCTCTGCACCTAAAGGTAATGCTTCTGTACTGTCTCAGAGCCTCTGACGTCTTTCCAGGGAAGTTCTGTAATAGCAGGGCTGCACTGGCCACCTTTGCAGTCATTTCCTTGTTCTCAGGGGTTTTTTTTTTTTTTTTTTTCCACTTTAATTTTGATAGTGACTATTGGGAGGGTCAAATCTGAGCCATCTCCTTGCTAGCTCTCTAACACCTACCTGCAAGACAAAAGTTCCAACTCCTCCACATGAAATATGTCAGCTGCCCAACACCAAGAAAGTTGAAAATGTTGTGATGTGGTTGAGTGAACCAAGAGAGGGAGGGATGGAGACATAGGTAAGCAAGGGAACAAGCTCCTGATGGAGTGAGAACATGGACCTAGGGGTTTCCCACACAGGAAAGGAGCAGATTTTTATCCTTTGAGAATGGAGGGAAGGATGGGGAGGGAGGCAGACAGAGGTGTGTATGTGTCTGTGATCTGGGACTGGTTTCCTGTGATACAGGAGGCCAGATCTGAGAATGAGGTGTGGGAGGCTGTGTTGTGGGCTTAAGCAGAGAGGTAGATTTTTGGAAGAGTCACCATGTGGATCCTGTGGCCAAGCAGAGGGACTGCCTAGTGGTGCCAGGCTCAGAAGACAAGCTCTCCAGCAGCCTGTTGGTGGGACTGTTTCATGAGTTCTGAGACTGTAGAGCTGAGAAGGTGTTTGGGGTAGGAGGAACGGGATCCAGAGAATTGAGGGTGCAGATGAAAAAAGGGTACCACTGATAGCCTGAGCTGTGTAGGGAGGTAAGGCCAGAAAGAGCCAGCTGATTCAAGTGTCATGGGATACTAAGCCACTTAGAATTTTAAAGTTAGTTGCAAACTCACTATCTTGTGTGGGTAAATAAGGATGGAGCTAACATGTACAGTACTGAGGATCTATCAGGCATTGTACTAAGAAATGTGTGGTGATACCAGATTTATTGCATTCTTGTTAGCAATGAATGTTTTCATTTAACCTTTGGGGAATGGTCTTATAGATGTGAAAAGCTAATAGAAACTTTGATTCCTCACGTGAGCATTTTAGAAAGTATGTTCACATATGGGGTATGTGTGTGTGTCAGTGATCTACTCATGTTCTTGACCGTGTGGGAAAACTGAAAAATATTTTAATGCTCTAGTTCTAAGTCTCAAATACATAGAATAAGTTGCAGGAGTAATTCATATGCTGAACAGCATTTGTATCTGGTTTAGTAACTGTGAAAGTTTAGGAGATATCAAGCTAACTGTGGCTTTGGTGGCTTTATTTGGTTACCTTAGAAATGTTCATCTGCTCACCTTGGTACAGTAACTCAACTTGTTTTCTTGGTGCCATAGGCACCTCCCAGCCTGGATATTCAAAAATGACATTTAGTTGTGAGAAGCGTTCCATCCCAAAGAGAGAACTGAATGAGAAGCTTAAAGTTTCATGCAGGGAAAAGCTTGCTGAGTCTGAAGGTGATTTAGACTACACTATGGATAGCCTGACATGGGACTCAACTCCTAAGGCCAAACAAAGGACCAAAGAAACTGTCAAGGTTAGTTTTAAAGCCTGTGCATGGCAGTGTGTGTGGCCAGTGGGGACAGGGAGGTGGTGAGGGGGAGAGTCCAGATGACACAAGAAGTTATGATGAATCCGCACATAATGGAGAGTAGAGTTTGCACTGGTGTCTGTGGGCAATGCAGCTGGCCAAGAGTCAACACACACAGTCTCTTTGCTTGTCACTGACTCTGTCCTTTCGTGTTTCAAAGAAGATGAGTTCACCAAAGAATAAAAACTGGATGAACCACTTACGTGTGCCACAGAGAGAACTGGAGCGACTTCGGCTTGCCAGAATGGAGAGTCGGAACCACTTCCTTAAAAACCCTCGGTTTTTCCCTCCTAACACTCCATGTGGAGGCAAGTCTCTTGTTTTTCCTCCAAAGAAGCCAGCACCAACAGGAAAATTCTGGAGTGTAGATCCACAACAGAGGTATGTCTTTCCATGACTTGTACTCTCAGAAAATCTGACCATTTAGAGTAAAACCCAGAAGGTTCTGGGTCTGTTCTGGCTATGGAGGTCCCTAGACTTTTGGGGGGCAGGGTAGCAGTATCAGAACAGAGCAGGGTTTCAGGGTCAACCATTGATGTGGCCTTTGGACATGCCCCAGAGTCCTGGGTTTATGCTTTTCTGACCCGTTAAGGTCTTGAGAAATAGGAGTTGCTGTTGGCCCTTTATTTACATCTGAACAGTCTGGGTCAATGCTCCTTCTATGGGATTCATATGTCTTGGATAATAACAATGTTTAAAATTTGGTTAATTACAAACACCTAGTGTAAATCGTGATTTTTCTTTAAGAGAGTGCCTTTTGGCTATATTTCAGTAATTCTTATGAAGGGAATGAGTTGCTTCATGGGTTCATAATTTTGTTTTTTTGCGGTCCTACACCCCAGGGGTTCATAATTTTAACGAGACTAAAACTATTAACGATTCTTTATTAGATAAATAATATATTTTTATTAAGGAAAATTAGAAAAGTCTAATATTTGAAAAGAAAAACATCACATATTAAAAATTCAGTTAACATATTGGTGTTTAAGCTTTCAGGGTTTCTCTTATGCATATTGAAAATGAAATATGTAGCTATATATATATTCACAAAGATTGGATCCTGCTATAAAATTATTTTGTAACCTGCTTCAACAACAACCAAAAATCCCCACCAGAGGGAATATTGTGAATATCTGTGATGGCTTGGGTGTGTTTATTTCTACATTAGTCACTCACTGCATAGTATTTCATTGTATGGATGAAACTAACAGCCTTTCTCTCCCCTCGTTTCCCCTCCCACAGTTGCGCTGACACTCCGGTGTTTCTAGCTAAGCCATCAGTTGTGTTTTTCACAGATTATGAAATTGGACAAGTTTATGAGGTAGAAATCTTGTTTCTTTACAGATCCTATACCATCTGCTTCCTTATTGTTTTAAAGTCTTTATGATGGAGAAACTGGCAAAGACTTAGAGAAAGGGAGTAAAATAATTTCAGTTGGGGAGTAGAAGAGGGCCAAGGGAGAGCTGCTCAAGGACATATGGGAGGTGTTTATCTGCAGGGCTGAAGATTCCAGCTGTGGAAGCCTGTGCTCAGCTGGAGACCCTGAGGCTGCAGATGAGGTGAGCACAGACTGCCATAGGACAGTCTTCTCGCCCACATTTGCCTGCTGCTCATCCCTTTGACTTTATTTAGTTGTTGGAAAGTCACCCTGACCTTCCCTGACTGGATTAAATGTCCCTATTGCAGGCTTATTTTGTATCATATGTTGCTGTTTTATGGCACAATTTTTTATTTATCTTCTCCACCAGACTATAGGCCCTACAAAGACAAGAATTATTTCAAGGTTTGTATTATTTTATTATTGGTGCCTGGAATATAATAGGCCCTCAGTAAATATTTGCTGACTGAATTACATGAATACTTGGATGTGCATCTACTCCTCAGCCTTGCCTATCCCTGAAAAGGTAAATCAAGAAAAATGAAAGATACCCTATTTTATACATACACAATACATAAATAATATGACTTCCCAAGGTGTTTTGATAAGTTGATGAATGACAGCTCACAGATGGGTTAGTAACATTTTTATTCCTTTAGAAAGTTGTTAAACATGGAAAATGTTTAAATATATGGGAAGTATATGTAAAATGATGTTAAATTAAGCAGAGTACAACATGATTATGACCACTTAAAAATCTGAGTACCTATGGCCAGAAGAAGCCACCCATAGTGTACAGAGAATCGTACAGAGTTAGTGCATTTCAGGGAGGAACTTATGGGAATCATTTTAAAAATAAACTTATTTGATGAAAACTTTTAAATTTAAATGTATATAAAAATGAGAATTAGGTTTCTCACTGTTGCAGAAAGGTACAAATAAGGAAAGGGGGAAGGCTAGAATGAAGTCTCTGGTGCTGGATTGTAGTTGGAAGTACAAGTATGGTTTCATGGTTTAAAATATATATGTATGTATGTGGGTATACACAGGTGGATAGATATAGGAATAAATACAGATGTGTGTGAATGCATGGATTAGTACATATCCATATATTTCCTATCTGTATCAACTGAGAAGGATAGAAGTAGTGACACCCTAGCAGCAGTTAGCACACCTAGTGTCCAGATCTTGGTTTCTAAATACCATTCTCTAGTAAAATGTACCAGGGGTCCTTGTAGAACTAGTTGATTCCAGGGTTCAGGTGGAGAAAATATAAGACAAATCTAGAGCATCTTGTGGTACCAGAAAGTAAGAAAGTGCTAAAACAGAAAGACATGGAGGTAGACGTGGGGAAACATGTCAAAAAGACACAGAACCACCAATGAACAAAGTTGGAACAATTTAAACTACAAAATATATAATGATGGGGATGGAGTTTGGATGTGTTGTTCCCTCCAAAACTCATGTGGAAATTTGATCCCCAGTGTGGCAGTGTTGGAAACTGATTGAGTCATGGGGGCGGATCCCTCATGAATGGATTAATGCTCTCCCTGGGGGAGAGAGGGTAGTGAGTGAGTTCTCGCTCTATTAGTTCCCACGAGAGCTGATTGTTTAAAGGACCCTGGCACCTTCTCTCTCTCTCTTGCTTTGTGTCACCCTGTGATCTGCTTGTACCCGCTGGCTGCCTGCCACTTTCTCCCATGAGTAGAAGCAGCCTGAGGCCATGCAAGATGCAGCTGTCTCAGAATCATAAGCCAAATAAACCTCTGTTCTTTATAAATTACCCAGTCTCAGGTATTTCTGTTATAGCAACACAAAACGGACTAATACAGATAGTATTAGATTATAACACAAACAATAAAATAAATATCCATGAGTCTATACTGATATAAGTAAATATATGAATAAATAAATTAATGGGGGAGGACAACTGTTTTTTATGGAATAATTCTAATTAATAATGTGGAAATAATGAGAGAAATTTAAAAATCACTGTTAAATACCACACTAATAAATTTCTGTAGGCAAGATATACCAATGGATGCTAAAATTAGTGGCTAAAAGTTTAAGCAGAAACACATAATTGCATAGTCTCCCCCAGACACATCAACACCATACCCCCGATATGACTTACTGAGAAGAACATATGACCTCTGTGATACACTTCCCAGTAATGTATAACCTCAATCTAATCATGAGAAAACATCAGACAGACCCAAATTCAAGGACATTCTAGAGGACTTGCTACAAAATAACTGGCCAATACTCTTTAAAACGTCTCAAAGTTATGAGCAACAAGGAAAGCCTGAGAAACTGTCACAGATTGGAGGGGACTGAAGAGACATGACAGCCTAATGCATTTTCAGACTCTGAATTGGGTCTTGGAACAGAAAAAGAATGTTGGTGGAAAAACTGGAAAAGTCTGAATAAATTCTGTGGTTTAGTTAATATATTGTACCAAGCCTAATTTCCTAGTTTTGATTGTTGTTTTGTTATGTGAGGTGTTAACATAAGGGGAAGCTGAGTGAAGAGTATATAGGAACTCTCTGGATTATTTTTGCAGCTTTAGTAAATCTAATATTATTTCAAAATAAAGCATTAAGGGCCAGCCTGGCGGCGCACTGCTATAGTGCGCTGCTTGGGAAGCGCGGTGGAGCTCCCGCCGAGGGTTCGGATCCCACATACAGACCGGCCGCTCACTGGCTGAGCGAGGGGCGGGAGCAACACCGAGGGTTGCGATCCCGTGGCCGGTCCCGGTCCGGTACGGGAGTGACACTGAGGGTTGCGATCCGTTGCCGGTCACGAAAAAAGACAAAAAGGAAAAAAAAAATAATAATAATAAAATAAAGCATTAAAACTATGTGTGTATTGGGGAGAGTTCCTGTTCTGGCAATCTGCCAAAATATGAAAATTCTAGAACTGAAATTAAGTACACAATAGAAGAACTTAATGGCAGATTAGACACAGATGAAGGGAATACTAGCAGATCAGTAGAAATTATCCAGGCTAAAGCATAAAGAGAAAAAAGATGGAAACATACAGAAAAGAGTGTTTAAAAATATAGGGCATAGTAAACAGGTCTATTGTGTAATTGAAGTCCCAGAAAGAGAGGAGAGAGAGAGAGTGGAACAGAAGCGGTATTTGAAGAGATAATGGATGTGAATGATCCAAAAGCAATAAAGACATCAAGCCATAGAGTAAAGCATTAACAACCCCAAGCAGAATAAAATAAAAGAAAACCATACCTAAGCACATTGTTATAAAATTCTGCTGTCAACCAAAGAAAAAGAAAAAAATCTTAAAGTATCTAGAGAAAAAGACCCACTCCTTTCTAACAGAAATGATAGAAGCTAGAAAATTTTCAAATGGAAGCCTCAAAATGATGAAAGAAAATAACTTTCAATCCACAATTCTTAACCTAGTGAAAATATTCTTCAGAAATGAAGATGAAATGAAGACATTCTCAGAAAAACAAAAACTGAGATAACTCATCACCAGAAGACCTGCACCAAAAGATTTTATTTTTTAGTTAGAAGAATATGATGCCATATGGAAGCATAGAAATGCAGGAAGGAATGAAAAGCAACAGTAAGGGTAAATTTGTGGAGAAATATAAATTAATATTAACTATATAAAATAATCATAGTAATAATATAGTATGATATTTTAAATATATGTAAAATTAAAGGCATGACAACTGTACCCCAAAAGTGGGAGGTGTGAGTGGAATTCAAGTGTTCTAAAATCCTTGGATTGTCTTGGAAGTATATAAGTGGTAATTTATATGACAACTTTAATAATTCAAGGATACCTGTTCTAATCTCTGGGGTAATCATTAATCAAATAGTAAAGTAATATAAAAGTAAAAAGCTAATAGAGGGAGAAATGGAATTTTACAAAAGTTCTTGATTTAATAAAAGGCAAGAAAAGGACAGAAAAGAACATGACTGGTGCTACAAATAGAAAATAAATAATAAGATGGTAGATTTAAATCCAAATTTATCAGTAATTGTATGAAATGTAAATGGACTAAATACTCCAATTAAGAGAGGAGGATCAGGGCCTGCCTGTGGCTCACTCGGGAGAGTGCGGTGCTGATAACACCAAGGCCACGGGTTTGGATCCCATATAGGGATGGCCGGTTAGCTCACTGGGTGAGTGTGGTGCTGACAACACCAAGTCAAGGGTTAAGATCCCCTTACCGGTCATCTTTAAAAAAAAAAAAAAAAAAAGATATAGCAGACAAATATTAACCAAAAGACAATTGGTGTGGCTATACTAATATCAGAGAAAGTAGGCTTTATGGCAAGAAGTATTACTAAATGGACAGAAAGGAAAAGGACTTTTCCTACTGATGAAAAGTAAGAAAATCCATCCAAAAGATATAACTATTTAAAAGCTATATACACAAACAACCTAGCCTCAAAATGTATAAGCAAAATTTTACAAGACCAGAAGGAAAACAGAAACAATAGCAAACATGTAGGATATTTTAACATTCTTCCAAAATCTTAAAGAGCGTGTAGACAAATAAATCAGTAAAGATGTAGGAGAATTGAACAATATGGTTAACAAGCTCTACCTGAGTTATACATAACACTGCACCCAGCAATTGCAATATATGTTTTATTTCCAAAGTGCACATGAAACATTTACCAGAATTATCTGTGTTCTGGGTCATAAAGCAATTACCTAAAATTTCAAAGTATTGAAAGCATATAGAGTTTGAACCCAGCAGAATTAATGTAAAACTAGAAATTCCCAAATATTTGGAAATGAAGCAATTCATTACTAAACCAGAGTCAAAGAAGAAGACATAATTAGAAAATAGAAAATAATATCATTTTAGGTATTAGAAATAATATAATAATTAGAAATAGAAAATAAAATCATTTAAAAATGGTACATCAAAGCTTGTGGGATGACTCTAAGGCCATGTTTTG